TCTGAGAGGCAATGGTGCGTCGGTCGTAGCGCGGCGCTCGTAGCTGCCAGCGCTGTGGTGTATACAAGCACTGGGGCTCCTCCTCCTCCTCTCCCTCCTCCTCTTCGTCCGGCATTTCTGATGGCCTCCTCCTCCTCCTCCTCGTTCTCCCCCCTTTCCTCCCTTTCGTCCGTCCTCCTCCTCCTCCTCCTCCTCCTCCTCCTCCTCCTCCCCTCCTCTTACTCTTCGTTTTTGTACAGTATACGCGAGGCGGTGCTTTGGATTCCGAAGCGTGTCAGGTGCCCTGGGTGGGACTTCTTGGGGCCCGGAACGGGACGATTAGAGTTTATTTGTATCGGGTATCGATTCGTTGGGAGGCGGAGGGGTTGGGAGGCGGAGGGGTTGGGAGAGGGAGGGATGGGGATACGGAGGGATTGGGAGAGGGAGGGATTGGGAGAGGGAGGGATTGGGAGGGGAGCCTGGAACGCAACGATGACAGTTTATTTGTACCCGGTATCGATTCATTGAGTTTCTGACCTCAGGGCGCCCTTGGGCCCTCCGGGGGCTCGGAAAGGAACGATAGAAGTTTATTTGTATCCGGTATCGATTCGTGGATTTTGTGGCCTCCAGGCGCCCTGGGCCCCACCTGGGGCCTCCCTGGGGACTGTAAAGGAAAGATTGTTATTACATGTTATTACTATTATAAGTAGTCGTAGTAGTAGTAGTAGTAGTAGTAGTAGTAGTAGTAGTAGTAGTAGTAGTAGTAGTAGTAGTAGTAGTAGTAGCAGTAGTAGTAGTAGTAGTAGTAGTAGTAGTAGTAGTAGTAGTAGTAGTAGTAGTAGTAGTAGTAGTAGTAGTAGTAGTAGTAGTAGTAGTAGTAGTAGTAGTAGTAGTAGTAGTAGTAGTAGTAGTAGTAGTAGTAGTAGTAGTAGTAGTAATAGTAATAGTAGTAGTAGTATTAGTAGTAGTAGTAGTAGTAGTAGTAGTAGTAGTAGTAGTAGTAGTAGTAGTAGTGGTAGTAGTAGTAGTAAGTAGTAGCAGTAGTAGGTAGCAGTAGCAGTAGTAGTAGTAGTAGTAGTAGTAGTAGTAGTAGTTGTTGTTGTTGTTGTTGCTGTAGTAGTAGTAGTAGTAGTAGTAGTAGTAGTAGTAGTAGTAGTGGTAGTCGTTGTCGTTCTCGTTGTCGTCGTCGTAGTAATAGTAGTACTTGCAATAGTCGTAGTAGTCGTAGTACTCGTAGTCGTAGTCGTAGTCGTAAGAGTAGTAGTGGTGGTGGTGGTGGTAGTGGTGGTAGTAGTAGTAGTAGTAGTAGTAGTAGTAGTAGTAGTAGTAGTAGTAGTAGTAGTAGTAGTAGTAGTGGTAGTAGTAGTAAGTAGTAATAGTAGTATGTTGCGGCACCCCAGGCGCACCCCCGCCGTGACGTGATCGGCGGGGCGCCCCCCCCCCCCCCCCCCCCCCATCACGCCCGTGACCGGCCCGAAAAAGCGAACGGGCTCTTGGAACCATCTTGGAGCGGTCTTCGGGTTTTTTGGCATCATGCTGGAGGCTGCTTCGGGCCATCTTGTTTCCAGGTGCCTATGGGAAGTCTCGCTACAGTGCGTCGGTTGTGGGTTATAGGCCTCCGTGAGAGGCCTACCGAGGGCCTTTTGGAGGCGGTTTTGGGGCCCTTTGAGGGCCGTCTGGGGTCCTCTTTGGGGCCTCTTGTGGGCTTATTGGGTCACCTTGGAGCCTCCTGGAGGCCTCATCGGGTGGAGGGCTGGAATTGTCGGTTCGCGTTTCCCCTCATTGCCCCTTCTTGGGGCCGTCTTGGGGCTCTCTTGGGCTGTCTTGGGCGCCTCTTGGGCCATTTTGGGGCCCTCTCGGGCCTCTTGGGCCATCTTGGGGTGGTGTTGGGGGTCCCTGGGGTCGTTTTGGAGCGTCGGAAGCTCGAAAAGGCGATAACGTAAACACATACATAAAAACAGTGTCAATCGATGGTTTTTGATTGTTTGTGCTCCTTCTGGAGCGCTCTTGGGTTTTTTTGGGGGCCTGTTGGGCAGTCTTGGAGGCATCTTGGGCGTCTTGGAGCGAGCTTGGGCTGCCTTGCGGGCCTCGTGGCGGAATGGGTGGGATCCTGTGCCGTTATGGAAGCCCTGGGGAGCTTAGGGAGGCGCCGTGGCCGCCCAGGCTCCTCCTCCCGGGAGTAAGTGTTGGTGCAGGCAGCGAAGCGCTGAACGGACAGTGGGTGGTCCCGTAGAAGAGCACAGAAACCTGCCAGGCAGCCCTGGGCAGTCTTCCACGCCTCAGAAGTGCTGTAGGCGCAGTGGACGATCATCTTGTAGGCCATCGTGTAGCCTCCTTTGGGTGCCCCCGAGAAACCAGCATATGTCGATTATTTAAGGTGTTGCTATGATCTTGGCTTTGAGCGACAGGGGGGTCCAATCAGGGCCGCCCTCTTGGAGCCACACACGTCGTCTCTTGAAGCGGTCCTGGGGCGAGCTTGGGCGCTTGGGGCCCTCCTGGAGCCGGCATGAGCTGGTTTCGCCGGCGCTGGTTTCGCCGGCGCCGGTTTCGCCCCGCTGGTTTCGCCGACGGCTGGTTTCGCCGGCGCTGGTTTCGCCAGCGATGGCTTCGCCTCGCTGGTTTTGCCCTGCTGGTTTCGCCGGAAGCTGGTTTCGCTGGCGCTGGTTTCGCTGGCGCTGGTTTTGCCGACGCCGTCGTCGCCGCGGGCGGGCGGACCCTAACGGGCGGGTCGGGTCCGATCGGGCGGGTGGACCCATGATGGGCGGGTTGGGTCCGGCGGGCGGGACATTCAACTGTGGGGCACGCTCGACCGAACACGCGCGAACCCTGACGGGTGGGTCGGGTCGGGTGGGCGGACCCTGGCGGGCGGGTCGGGTCGGATCGGGCGGGCGGACCCATGACGGGCGGGTCGGGTCGGGCGGGCGGGACAATAATGTGTGAGGCACGCTCGACCGAGCACGCGCGAACCCGAACGGCCGGGTCGGGTCGGGTCGGGTGGGCGGGACATCAAAGTGTGGGTGGGGCACGCTCGACAGAGCACGCGCGAACCCTAATTGGCGGGTCAGGTCGGGCGGGCGGACCCAAACGGGCGCGTCGGGTCGGGCAGTTTCGCCGACGGCAGCTGGTTTCGCCGTCGGCAGCTGGTTTCGCCGACGGCAGCTGGTTTCGCCGACGGAGCTGGTTTCGCCGGGCGGCGAAAACAGCTGGGCGAAACCAGCCGGGCGAAACCAGCCGTCGGCGAAACCAGCGGTCGATTTGGAGCCTTCCTGGGCCCCTCGTGAGGCTCTCCCTGCGCCACCTCGGAGCAATCGTGACTAAACACCCGAACGCCCATCGGAAACGGAATGGTGAGAAGAAACCGCATGAAGTGACATGTATTTTTGATGTGTGCCTCCTAGGGGCATCCTTTGGAGGCTCCTTGGCTACTTGGGGCCGTCTTGTAGCAGACTTGGGGCTTGGCAGCATGCCAGAGGCCACCCTGGGCTATCTTGTGCCATCTTGGGTTCTTTGTGGCCATCTTGAATTATATTGGCCCATCTTGGATGCCCAGACGCCTCGCGGAACCTTCCGTTCAGACCCAGTGGAGGGTTTGCGGGAGGGGTCACGCTACCCCCCCCCCGCCCGCCCTCCCAACACATAGGCAGCACCCGAGCGGATGGCCCTGGTCCCCCCTTAAGCGAAGTGCCAAGCATTCAGCGAGAAGGGCGGCTCCCCTGGGGAGCGCAATGCACCGGCACCAATTGACAAAGCGTGTTTTTCCTGGCATCGCGCGCCGACACAAACGGCAACATGCGGTCACCCCCGCTGGGTTTGCCAAATGCCTCTGCAGAGTGATCGCAGTGCGTCCGCGCATGAACCAGATTTTTGTACAGAGTGAATATTGTGTTGTTTGTAAGGGGTGGTGGGCCTGCACGCAGCCGGCAACATGCGGGCATCCTCCACCGTCCCGGTCAAGAGCGTAGGCAAAACGATCGCGGGGCGCCCGCGCATGATCCAGACTTCGGTGCAATGTCATTCAAGAGGCTTACGTCATTCCGCCGACCCCCAGAAGAGGCGGGGAATACATTGTTGAGGCGTCGTGGGCTTGTTGGGCACTGCACGGGGACTCTTGTGGGTCTTGGGGCCCTCGTAGGGGCCTCTTGGGCAGTTTTGGGGCGGTCTACGGGGCCTCTTAGGCCGTCTTGGGCATCGGAAGCTCCAGAAGATGATAACCACAGAAATAGTGAACAACCGCACGAAAACCATGCATGTTTGCCTCTCGGTTTCCCTCTTGGGAAGGCTTTTGGGGCGTCTCGAAGGCGTCTTGGGGCGTCTCGGAGCCATCGTAAACGTCTTGGGCCAATCGTTCCGCGATTCGGGACCGTCTTGGACAGTTTTGAAGGACACGGAAGGCATATTTGGCGTCTCGGGGGGTACGCCGTCGAGCCCGGATACCCCCCTCCGCTAAAACGAGATTTTGGATTTTGGGGGAGGGGGAAAGGGGCAGGGGGACTGCCAATCATCTCAGAATGGCTCATACGCCTTCTCACCCCCGGCAAGCGGGGGTCGGCGGATCTTTGTATGGTTCTCTGAGAAGAACGGTGGGCCTGCGCACAGCAGGCGACATGCCGGTCGCCGTCTCTGGCAAAGCGTACTTTGTATCTTCCCGAATCAGATACTCCAGATTTCGTAATAAAGGGAGGGGGGTCTCATTTCGGGGGGGGTCTCTTCCAGGTTATCTTGGAGGGCCTGGGGGGGTCTGGGGACGATGTTTTGGGGGGTTCTCCCACGGGGGAGGTCTGAAATGGCTTGTCTTGGAGGGTCCAGACCCCTTCCCCTTTATTACGAGATCTGGAGTAGTGGGCCTGCACCTGCACACGGCAGACAAGACGCTGGCTCCCCCGTGATCGAGGGGCGCCCGCGCACGATCCAGATTCTGGTGCAGAGTGCACGTGGTCTTGGTTTTTGCCTCCTCCTCCTCTTCCTCCTCCTCCTCTTCCTCCTCCTTCTCCTCCTCCTCCTCCTCCTGCTCCTCCTCCTTCTCCTCCTCCTCCTCCTCCTCCTCATCCTCCGCTTCCTTCCGTAGCCATTTGGGCTCAAGGTCCTCATGTGCTCCACAGCGCATAGGTTTCCCATGCGAGCGACCTTCCAGATACAATCAATCGAGCGATCTGACTGATTCAGGGCAGCATGCCAACGATTGCTCTGCGATTGGTTGCCTGTGTTGCCCAGCTGTCGAGAATGGCCGCTGATGTAACCTGCTTTGGCGGCAATGGCAATTTTATTCAAGACCAGTAGCCTTTCTGTAAGAAGGTGCACGACGATGCATTGATTTATTATGGGCCCAGTGCGGAGGGAAGCTTCCTGAAGCTCGGACTTTACGCTGCTGGGCACAGTGGTTGGAGTGCGTTGGCGTTTGCTGGCAACGGCGGCATGAAAGGGGCCCAGCAATTTGTAGTGCGGCAGGAAGGCGGCACTTGGATAGCCGAGGAGCGCTACTCCACAGACTACGCACCTCCACAAATGCAGGAAACGCAGGACCTGACATTGATCTTCGCCAGCGAGGAGAAAGGCGGAACTGCATGGGGTTTGCTACTGCCTCGGATCTCCTGCGGTGCTGGCGACAGGTACCCCGTTGAAGATGTGAGCCGCTGGATGCACTGGGCACTGGGTAGCTCCCACAGCTTCGCATACCACAGCAGTAAGCGTGGCCAGTTTCATGTCAACTTGCTCTCAGGGCCTTCGACGCTTCCGGATCTGACCAGCTTGGAGGAAGTGGACGTGCTGATGCCAGATGTCGACGTGGTGCTCGGGAAGGGAGGCAATGATCCTACGAACCCTTATATTTGTGGTATCTTCGATCTCGCACAACTTTTGCCAGCTAACAGGAGTGTCTTGGATCAGCACCACGTCGTCAAGTTTGTGCCGAAGTTATCCGCGAGCAGCGAACAGTATGTCCATCACATGATATTGTATAGTTGTGACAGTGCTGCCGCTGCCTTATACGATAAGTATGTATCACACAATCAGGTGGTCGGTGATTGCGGAAGCATGCCGCCAGCTTGCAACGCATTGAAATGGGCCTGGGCCGTTGGGAGCGAAGACGTTGTACTCCCTGCAGACGTGGGCATGCCGTTTGGTCAGAACGTGCGCTGGTTGGCACTGCAGATGCACTATCACAACCCGTTGCTGGTCGCAGGCGTCAAGGACAGCAGCGGCGTCATGATGATTTTCAGCGATTCTCTCCGCACCCACGACGCTGCAGTCTTCGACCTCAACGGGGGCACCAGCCTGGATCATCGCAATCCATTGCCAGCCGGCCAGGCAGATATCACTCTGAGCACCGTTACCGTCCCAGAGCAGTGCACGAACGCTTGGGACGTACCCAGTATCAACGTGCTGGGTGTGCTTTACCATGGCCATCTCGTCGGCAAGAGCTTCGGTATTGATATCACCAGCAGCGCAGACGGAAGCTATCGTGGGACGCTCCGTCAGGAGAAGAGGTACGATTTCAACCACCAGAACTTTGAACCGCCCTTGTTGAACACTAATTCTAGAGGAGACGAGCTAACGTTTACATGCAAGTATGATACGTCCTTGAAAACAGAGCCTACTGAGTTCGGGGATGCAACGCAAAATGAGATGTGCTGGGCTGCCTTCATGTATTATCCTGCTCAGATGATGACAGGTGCAATGATCGATAAGGGGAGCGTCCTAACAACCCTTATGGGGAAAAACAGTATACGATGTGCGGGGGTGGGCCAGCTGTCGTATACAGCGCCAGTGGTGGCTCCGCCTGCGTGCATGCAACTGGGCGATTTGAGTTCAGTTCGCGCCAGCAGTATTTTAAGCACCATGACGGCCGACCTCCCGGCGACCTGGATTCCAAGTACAACAACGACCACGACGACGACGACGACACCAGATTTGTTGCCCAGTAGCACCATGACGGCCGACCCCTCGGCTACCTGGATTTCAAAATATACAACGACCACGACGATGAGGAAGACACCAGACTTGCGGGCCAGTTTAACGTCGTCACCAGCTCCGACGTGCTCATGCGTACTTTCTGTGATCGGCGCGTTTGTTCTGCATGGCCTTCTACATGCATCCACAATGTAGTTTGCCATTTGCCGGTAGACGTTAGCCGCTGTGAATTGTAGCATTCCTGACTTGGTGCTTGTTCTCGCAGAACGGACCGCAGACGCCCCAACGGTGTTCCAACGAGCTCCCCAGCAGTGCTTACACTTATGGCGGTCCGCGATAGCTACGGAGCCCTGTAGGGGCGACGTGCTGGACAGGACCTCCGACTGCTGGCTCATGGACTTCGAGCTCCGCGTCGAGGTCCTCTACTGACAAATGCTTTCGTTTTCCTCGTGCGCAGTCGTGGTCGTGCAGACCCGTCTGCGTGTTGGTCTGGTGTGCAGGCAGCCGGATAGCCGCTGCTGATTTTCTTGCGACGCACGGACCGCGCACCGCTCGTCGTTTTCAGCGAGCGTTTTCCTGCGATCCACGTCTGGGCAGCAGCGCATCCTTATTGTGGGCGTCCGTTCGTCTCGTGCTCGGCAGGTTCTTTTCCATTTGATCTGGGCGAACCCACAATCACTCGATCTGGCTGCATGAGCGTTGCGCGACCGCGACGCACCATCTCCGTGCGAAGCAGTGTGCGTGCGCGGCTCATCCGTGCTCTGAGGCTGGACCTTGGCCTCGAGGCGGACAGGATCAAAACCATAACTTTTCTCCCTCTCCCTTCAACCTGTCCCCTCCTCAAGTGTGAACGCTGCTGTATCTTTCAAAAACCGTTGCCTGCTGAAGTTGCAGCACTGTTCAATCATTCGATCTTGCTGCATGAGCGTTGCGCGACCGCGACGCACCATCTCCGTGCGAAGTAGTGTGCGTGCGCGGCTCATCCGTGCTCTGAGGCTGGACCTTGGCCTCGAGGCGGACAGGATCAACATCAACGATTATCCCGGCAAAGCAGCCTAACAGCGATGTGTAGGAGCATACCTGGAAGCATTCCCCTTAAGATTCAGATGAGAATCCAGTTGTAGAATTCTGCTGTTCTCGCAGTCGTAGTCGCATTCGCGATGACAGTTGCAGTGGCAACGGCAGTCGCAGTCACAGCCTCAGCCTCAGCCTGCCTCAGCCTCAGCCTCAGCCTGCCTCAGCCTCAGCCTGCCTCAGCCTCAGCCTCAGCCTGCTTCAGCCTCAGCCTTAGTCTGCCTTCAGCCTCAACCTCAGCCTCAGCCTGCCTCAGCCTCAGCCTGCTTCAGCCTCAGCCTCAGCCTCTGCCTCGTCGGCCTCGGCCTCAGCCTCAGCCTGCCTCAGCCTCAGCCTGCATCAGCCTCAGCCTCAGCCTCAGCCTGCCTCAGCATCAGCCTGCCTCAGCCTCGGCCTCAGCCTCAGCCTGCCGCAGCCTCAGCCTCAACCTGCTTCAGCCTCAGCCTCAGCCTGCCTGCAGCCTCGACGTCAGCCTCAGCCTGCCTCAGCCTGCCTGCAGCCTCGACGTCAGCCTCAGCCTGCCTCAGCCTGAGCCTGCCTCAGCCTCAGCCTCAGCCTCAGCCTGGCTCAGCCTCAGCCTCAGCCTGCCTCAGCCTCAGCCTCAGCCTGCTTCAGCCTCAGCCTCAGTCTGCCTTCAGCCTCGGCCTCAGCCTCAGCCTGCTTCAGCCTCAGCATGCATCACCCTCAGCCTTCAGCATCAGCTCAGCATCAGCCTGCCTCAGCCTCAGCCTCAGCCTGCCTCAGCCTCAGCCTCAGCCTCAGCCTGCTTCAGCCTCAGCCTCAGTCTGCCTTCAGCCTCGGCCTCAGCCTCAGCCTGCCTCAGCCTCAGCCTGCATCAGCCTCAGCCTCAGCCTCAGCCTGCCTCAGCCTCAGCCTGCCTCAGCCTCAGCCTCAGCCTGCCTCAGCCTCAGCCTCAGCCTGCTTCAGCCTCAGCCTCAGCCTTCAGCCTGCCTCAGCCTCAGCCTCAGCCTGCCTCAGCCTCAGCCTGCCTCAGCCTCAGCCTGCATCAGCCTCAGCCTCAGCCTCAGCCTGCCTCAGCATCAGCCTGCCTCAGCCTCAGCCTCAGCCTGCCTCAGCCTCAGCCTCAGCCTGCTTCAGCCTCAGCCTCAGTCTGCCTTCAGCCTCGGCCTCAGCCTCAGCCTGCCTCAGCCTCAGCCTGCATCAGCCTCAGCCTCAGCCTCAGCCTGCCTCAGCATCAGCCTGCCTCAGCCTCAGCCTCAGCCTGCCTCAGCCTGCTTCAGCCTCAGCCTCAGTCTGCCTTCAGCCTCGGCCTCAGCCTCAGCCTGCCTCAGCCTCAGCCTGCATCAGCCTCAGCCTCAGCCTCAGCCTCAGCCTGCCTCAGCATCAGCCTGCCTCAGCCTCAGCCTCAGCCTGCCTCAGCCTCAGCCTCAGCCTGCTTCAGCCTCAGCCTCAGTCTGCCTTCAGCCTCGGCCTCAGCCTCAGCCTGCCTCAGCCTCAGCCTGCCTCAGCCTCAGCATCAGCCTGCCTCAGCATTCAAACTGTTGCCCGGGATAGAGTTCTGAGAGCTCGAAGAACACGAAGTGGCCTACAGTTGGCTCCGGGCATTCAAAATCATGCCCAGGAATGGAGTTCTGGGAACTCGAAGCCCACGAAGTGGCCTACAGTTGGCTCCGGGCATTCAAAATCATGCCCAGGAATGGAGTTCTGTGAACTCGAAGACCACGAAGTAGCCTACAGTTGGCTCCGGGCATTCAAAACCATGCCCAGGAATGGAGTTCTGGGAACTCGAAGAACACGAAGTGGCCTACAGTTGGCTCTTGGCATTCAAAATCATGCCCAGGAATGGAGGTGAGAACTCGAAGACCACGAAGTGCGTTACTGTTTGCTAAAAACGAGTTCCCCAGCATCCCCCCGGCATCCTCCCCAGGATCGCGCCCAGACCCCCTTGGGGCGTCATAGTGCTCTCTTTTGACCCTACTAGAAACCTATCAGTCTTCGCTGTTAGGTAAAAACATAAATCATCTTCAAATCCTTCCCCGAGGGCCTCAAGACGGCCCGAGACAGCCCCCAAAGGCTCCACAGAAGATCACCGAAGCGCCTCCGCTGTCCCCCAGGAGGCTGCGATGAGGCGCCCGGAGGCCCCCAAGAGCGCCTGCAGACGCTCGCAGGCGGCCCAAGAGAGCCCCCCGCAAAGCGCCCATGTGGCCCACGCCGAGAGCCCCCGCAGACCTGGGGTAGGCGCTGCCGGGCCGCCTGTGAGGGCCCAAGTTCAGGAGGGGAAAGCACACACAGACAGAACTCATCGTCGACTCCGAGTCGACGATGAGGCCTCTGACCCACCACCCAGGGCACTGTGGCGGGAGCAGTGACAGCACTTGTGCACAGCATGTTCCGGCGGGAGCCTTCAGGAACACGCTGCAGGAGGAGGAGGAGGAACATCAGGAGGAGAGAGAGCTGGAAGGGGAGGAGGAGGAGGGGGACGAGGAGGAGGAAGAGGCCTCCAAGATAGCTCCAAGATAGCCGAAGAGGCTTCCAAGAGAGCCCTGGGCGGCCCACGAGGGCCCCAAGGCGGTGCCTGAGGCGCCCAAGAGGGCCCGAGAGGGCCCCAAGACGGCCCCAAGAGAGGCCCAAGAAGGGAAACACGAACTGAGAATCCGAGCTTTCTACCCCGAGAGGTTCTCAAGAAGTCCCAAGAGGCCCCCAATCGGATCCAAGAGGCCCCAGAGAAGTTCCCAAGAGGGCCGACGAGGTTCCAAGAGATCTCCCAAGGTGGCCCCAAGAGGCACAACTCATTGTTTTACGATTGGGCTTTGACGGGTTTTATTTTTTCTGCCTTTTGGCATCCCGATGCTCCAAGACGGCCCAAGAGGCTTCCAATACCGCTCCAATATAGAGGAAGAGGCCTCCAAGAGGGCCCCAAGACGGCCCGCGAGGGTCCCAAGACGGTGCTTGAGGCGCCCAAGACGGCCCGAGAGGGCCCCAAGAGCCCCAAGAGAGGCCCAAGAAGGGAAACGCGACCCCACAGCAGAGCGTTCCCCCCAAAAGGCCCACAGGAGGCCGCAAGAGGACCCCAAAAGCTTCCCGAGGGCCCACAAGGCCCCTAGGAGACGTCCAAGAAGTTTTAAATGATCCCGGCAAAGCAACCTAACAGCGATGTGTAGGAGCATATTTGGAAGCATTCCCCCTAAGATTCAAATGAGAATCCTGTTGTAGAATTCTGCTGTTCTCGCAGTCGTAGTCGCATTCGCGATGGCAGTCGCAGTGGCAACGGCAGTCGCAGTCACAGCCTAAGCCTCAGACTGCCTCAGCCTCAGCCTCTGCCTCAGCCTGCCTCAGCCTCAGCCTGCCTCAGCCTCAGCCTCAGCCTGCTTCAGCCTCAGCATCAGTCTGCCTTCAGCCTCGGCCTCAGCCTCAGCCTGCCTCAGCCTCACCCTGCATCAGCCTCAGCCTCAGCCTCAGCCTGCCTCAGCATCAGCCTGCCTCAGCCTCAGCCTCAGCCTGCCTCTGCCTCAGCCTCAGCCTGCTTCAACCTCAGCCTCAGTCTGCCGTCGGCCTCGGCCTCAGCCTCAGCCTGCCTCAGCCTCAGCCTCAGCCTCAGCCTGCCTCAGCATCAGCCTCAGCCTCAGCCTCAGCCTCAGCCTCAGCCTGCCTCAGCCTCAGCCTCAGCCTGCTTCAGCCTCAGCCTCAGTCTGCCTGCAGCCTCGGCCTCAGCCTCAGCCTGCCGCAGCCTCAGCCTGCCTCAGCCTCAGCCTCAGCCTCAGCCTGCCTCAGCATCAGCCTGCCTTAGTCTCAGCCTCAGCCTGCCTCTGCCTCAGCCTCAGCCTGCTTCACATTGTTTGCCCGTCTTGCCACTGACGCCAGGTGGCGAGAACACCTTTGAAATTTCGCACGCATCCCGCGCATGTTCGCTCCACGGGTGAGATTTCGTCGGCGCGCAGGTGCGGGGGGTCCTGTAATAATGCACCTCGTATACGAAAACTTTAACACCGTTGAAGAAGACTAGGTCGAAGCTTCGAGTAGGTGGCCGACCCTTGCTAAGAAGGCCCCTGCCTTCTTAGACAACTCTCCACTAGCCCCACCTCCTTGGCGCGCGCCGCCAATTCAGATCGTCAGTTAATCCCGTGCAGGTTCGCTTCACGGGGTAAATTTGTGGGCGAGTCGAGCTCACCGCTTACATCATGCAGCGTCCATTGTCCAGACCGCGGCTTGGCTTGCTCTCGCGCGGCGGTCGTGCTCAGTCTCCTCGTCGTCCTCCTCTTCGTTGTTGTCGTTGGTGGCGTCGTCGTCGTCTTCTTCGTCGTCGGCGTTGTCCTCATCCTCCGCTTCCTCCCCCACTCCTAGCCCTTTCGATCAGGGTCGGCGGTGGCGGTGTGTTGGCATCGCGCGTCAGCAGGGAATATGCCGCCCACCCGCCGCATTCGTGAAAAGAGAGTGCAACGTGCTCGCGGGGCGCCCGTGCATGATCCAGATGTTGGTGCAACGTGCACGCTGTCTTGGTTTTCTCTTTGAGGGGGTTGTGGTGGGCGGTTGGCACTGCGCGCAGCACGGCATTGGCCGTCCCCCTGCCGTACTTGCAAAAAACAATGTGAAGTGGTCGTGGAACGGCAGCAAATGATCCTGACTTTGGTGTAACGTGCCTTTTGTAGTGTGTTCTGCGAGGGATGGCGAGGGTTGGCATTGCACACAGCAGGCAATCTGCTGCCCCCATGCCGTCCCTGGACAAAAGCCGAAGCAAAGTGATCGCGGGGCACCCGCGTATGATCCAGATTCTGGTGCAACGTGCAAGCTGTTGTGCCACCTCATGCACGGGATGGTGGGGCGGGGTCGTGGGCATTGCACACAGCAGGCAATCTGCCAGCCCGATGCAGAGTGATCGAGGGGCGTGAGCGCAGGATTCAGATGTTGGTGCAAATGTTGTGTTCTTTTCATACTGGGTGTTGGGGTCGGGTGGGGTGTTGGCATTGCTTAGGGTTTGTCGGTGGTCGAGCGGGAGAGGGGGTGTTCGTTGTCAAGGGGCAGTGGTGCCCGTTTTGAAGAGGAAGGATTGAAAAACACGGAAACTGGAGCAAATACATTACCAGTGGCGGGCGGTTTTTCAATCCCAGGACTTTTTGGAGGGTCGGGGACGACGTCGGGGTGGTGTGGTGTACATTTTTTTCCGCTTTCCTTGGGGATCAACAAAGAATGTATACACCAGGATCCCGTATACACCAGGATCCGCTTTCCTGTGCGAGATTCAGTGTGAGGCCAGACAAAGGCGTCGGTGCATAGAGTTCGGTTCCCTAGGGAGGAAACACCTCAAACCACCTCGAACCACCTCTGCCCAGGGGGCTGGGAGGATTGCTAAGGCCTTACGGCCGGTTCCGCCGACCCTGAAGACGACGACGACGAATACGAGGAGGAGGAGGAGGAGGAGGAGGAGGAGGATGAGGAGGAGGAGGAGGGGGATGAAGGTGGAAGGGATCAGGAGAAGGCGAATGAGATGTTCCCCATGTGGGCCGAGGGAGTCGTAGCAGAGACAGACAGGGGGCCTTGTGGCCTGCGGCCCTTCCCGCCTCCGTGCTGGGGTTGTGGTTGAAAGGCCTCTTGTATGTTCTCGGGCATGTTGGGGTCTCTGCTGGGCCTCTTGGGGGTCTCTTTGGGGCCTCTTCGGGCCCCTTGAGGGGCCCTTGGGGCCTTCTGGGGGCTTTTTGGGGCGGGAAGCTCGAAATGTCGGTTCGTGGTTCTCTTATTGGGCCTGCTTGGGGTTCTTTCGGCGCGTCTTAGTGATTTTTTGGGCTCCGGGACGCCCAGGGGCGGATGCGTATCTGACCTCCCCCCCCTGGGATCCCCCCGGGACCCCCCCCCTCGGCGGGGGAGGGATCAAAAGGGAGAGGCTTCCCTTCGACTTAAGTTCGACGTTGCTACGGTTTTCTCTCGCTGGCAGGCTTGAAGAGGAGGGTGCAGGGAAAGGGGACGACGGAGATGCAGGGAAAGAGGTCAACGGATGCGTCGAATGAGCGCACGCCGACAGGGGTCCACACGCCGACAGGGTCGGCGGATTTCGTTTCGTTTTTTTTGTTTTTCGCTTTCGGTCTGGAATGTGATTCTTCTGGTCCAGAGCTTACAGCTTGAAGTGGATGTTACCGTCCAGGACAGCTTCGGTTTTGTCCTCCGCGTTGGACCGAGCCGCTCGAGCACCGCCCTCGCCCCCCCGCAGGCTAGCTGCCCCCACTCCAGGCCAGCACGAGCGGCCGGGGAGGGGCAAAAGGGCCTGACACGCCGACGACCCCGAGGCGTCGGCTCGGATCCGCGCGTCCACCCTCTCTTCGGAGGGCACCAACTGTACACCAACACCGATCCTGGCCAGGATCGGTGTTGGTGTATACTTGGTGCCTTCCTATCTCTTTGTCCCGCCTGCTGCTCGGTGCAGCCTCTGCTTCCCAGTTCTCCGGCCTCCGGTGCAGATTTTTCCGTGTGCTGCCGCGGGGGGTCCCAGCGGGGCGGCGACGGGAGTGCGGTGGGCCAGAGGCGCTCCCGAGCGGCAGGCCGCGGGGAGGCTGCCTGCGCTCGGCCAGTGCTTCTGGCTCTCTCTCGTCCTGTCCTCCTCCTCCTCCTCCTCCTCCTCCTCCTCCTCCTCCTCCTCCTCCTCCTCCTCCTCCTCCCTCCTCCTCCCTCCTCTTCCTCCTCCTCCCTCCTCTGCAGCAATCTGGGAAGCACGCGATGTCCTGGCAAGCCGCAGGCGAAGTCGTGCGGGCGTGGCTCGTCGTCCGCAGCAAGATTGAGGACCTGCCTGCTTCGTCCTTCATGTTCGGATGATGGTGGCGGTGGTGCCAGGGAGGGGGGTTGCCAGTGAACCCAGATCACGCGACTTTTGGCCCGTAAGGCTGAGGCACCAGGCAGTCCCAGACCAATGGCGTTGGGCCCGTATTTCATGTCTCCTTGTTGTGAGTGTCACTGAAGTCCACCGCTGGGGCTGGGGAGGACTTCGAAAGCGGCCCCGCGTCACGAGTTGATGACTATGCTACGGTCTGCTTGCAGTGGAAGGGTGCAGACCGCACTTGCCCGCGACCCCAGCGAGTGCCATCGCAGCAGGGGCAACAGAGAGAAGTCTGCCACCAGGATGCTCCAGGGACGAGAGGTCCTGATGGGAGGGCCAGGCGGGGAGGCCGTTGCCCCCACGGGCTTCCAGGAGAGGGCGGTCACCTCGAGGTCTTCTGCACGGTCCAGTTTGGGGAGAGACACCATCGGGAACGTGCTTCTGGAAAGGGGCGGGGGCTCATCTGGGTGGCTCCTCGGGCGCTGGGAGGTAGACGCAGGCGGCCGCTGCGACCCTCTGCCGCTACTCCGTGTCGAGCCTTGGGGAGGGGGGTTGTGCGGAGGGACCTCACGCTTCATCTTCCTGCCCACCCTTACGCCACAGTCTAGCCAGAACTTTTAGAAAAGCTTCCTCCAAGGTGTGTGCAGCGCTCGGAAGATGTTTGACGATGCATTGGAGTCTCGCTGGAGCCAGTTGGTACTAGCTCGGTCGACACCGTAAGTCTGAGTCATAGCTGCGATGTCACGACTACGCCACCATTATCTTGCAGCTTCATGAGAGCGACCAATACAGACCCTGGAGATATCAGAAGGTCATCTTTCAAGCGAAGACGACTCATGCTTTCCCACTTGTGAGGCTAAGGGTGACCGCTACATCGCTGTTCTGAAGCTACCGATGGTATACAACTGTGTCGAGAGCGGTGCAGAACACCGCTGTGACTTGCTACTCTATTTTGGTAGGGGGATTGAAGCAGTTTTGCGCCTGTTGGCGGACACGTTGACGTCATCGATCCGATTCGGACGACGAAGCCGCATGCAGTAGTCTCTAGCAGCTACGGGTGCGACTCTAGGTAAAGCAGAACCCCGTGCTCTTGCACGACGCGCTTCCGGCGGTTCTGCTTCTGAGGTAGTTTCTAATCTGACGTTCACGAGCTGACTACATCGACAACATCTCTCGTGCTAGCGTGTGAATCACTTCGGCCTAAAGGCACGACTGGCGCCTTGTAGATGACAGCTGAACTTCTAATGACACTTGCGCGCAGGTCGGAGAGACGAAGTCACCAGTCAGCACACTGGTGTGGTCTTTATCCCTCCCCTACCCCTTCCACCCTCTCCGAATTGGATCACATGGGTGTTTGATGTTGGCTTCCAGTCTCATTTCCAAGTCGGCTTCATGTGGCACCATCGCTATTAGTTTCTTGCGGACCTCTCTCTTGTGGTGGGAATCGTACGTATATAGTGTATCGCAACTAGGAGAGGCCGAGCTGATGGACATTTAGTGAAACAAATAACGCAGATGTTGGAGTAGGCCATGTATGCTTCGAGGGGAGACGGTTGTTTGGGATGGGGCCTACCACTTCAAACAGAAGCGCACGACACGATCATGCTTCTGCTCATGTCTTGCACCCTGATCCCGGGCCACGGCTGGCTCCCCCTTCGCTTCTTTTCTAGCTCAGTGGGCGCATTCGGGATAGTTTGGTGGTGGGGTGGGGACTGGGTGGGGGTCGGGCAGAGATCGCTGGCGATTCACAATGGGTGATGCCATTTATGCTTGTTGTCATTCAGGAGGGGAAACACACACAGACACAAGTCATCGTCGATCCCCAGGAAAAACTTGGAACACACGGGAACTGGGAGGGGAAGACGAGAATCTCGACAAGACGATGAAAATATGGGGCATCCTGGGATGTGTGTGTATGTGTGTGTCTTTGCTTGCGGGCCCCTGGGCGCCCTTAGCCATGCACTGGCTGGGTAGTCGAAGGCCAGACTGTCAGATTGGATTGGGCCCCAAGGGCCAATCTGGCCCGGCCTAACTGGATGATTTGGGTTATTCGCCAGACTGGATCCGCGCTGGCTCCCTCGCCAGATTGCCCCCGCTTGCCAGATTGGGCCTGCCAGATTGGCGCCAGATTGGCTTCGACTACCCAGGTAGTTGTAGTAATAGTAGTAGTAGCAGGGGTAGTGGTAGTAGTACAAATAGTCGTAGTACTAGTACTAGTACTGGAAGGCCTCCGTGGCTCTGGCCCTCCTCGGCGGGCTCCCCCTCTGCGTGCCGCCGTGGGCTGCCTGCCTGCCTGCGGCCGGGCTCGGTCCGCTCCGCCTCGGGCCTGGGCCGAGCAGCCGTCGCCGTCGGCGTGCGGGCTCTCCTCCCTGCGCGAGCACCACCCACCAAGCGACCCCCAGCCCAGCCCGAAGGTTCGAGGCTCGTTTTGGGGACCTTCCTGGGGGCCACCTTGGATCTGTTCGACTGAGGTTCGACTCAGGTTCGACTCAGGTTCGACTCCGATTCGACTCAGGTTCGGCTCAGCTTCGACTCAGGTTCGACTCAGGTTCGACGCAGCTTCGACGCACGAGTGGAGCGAGTGGCTCCAGGAAGGTCCCCAGAACGAGCATCCAACGAAGGCCTCAACTTTCCCTTCATTTCCAGTAGGGGGGGGGTCGGGGAACATTGACAAAAACACATCGAGCCCGTAACTCAGAGTCCCGAATCATCAGGGGTAACTCGGGTCAGGGCTCACTCGGGTTCGCTTTTCGGGAACCCGAACCCGAGTTGCCCCGGGCCCGAGTTACCCCGGATAGTTCGGGCGTCCAGAGCCCCAAAATCATCAGGGGTAATTCGGGTCAGGGCGATCTCGGGTTCCTTTTTCGGGAAGCCGAACCCGAGTTACCCCGGAGCCGAATTATCCCGGAGAACTCAGGCGCCCAAGGTCTCAATTTTCCCTTCATTTCCAGTGGGGGGGGGGTCGGGGACCATTGAAAAAACACATGGAACCCGTAATTTCCCCCCCAAACCACCCTAACTTCGGGTCGAATTCGGGTCTTTGGGTTGGGTTGGGGTGGTCTGGTAGGTAGTCGTGTGCCCCATACCTGCACACTGTTCACTCCCAACTCTTCGAGAGGTCCTTGATTTTTTTGGTTGGCCAAGATCCTTTCATTCCCTGGGCCTCTTCCTGGCCACCAGGGGGCCAGGCACAATCAGAAGCGAGCACTTCATTTCTCATTCTTCGAAAGGTCCTTGATTTTTTTGAGGGGCCAAGACAGGAACAATCAGAAGCGAACACTTCATTTTCCATTCTTCGAAAGGTCCTTGATTTTTTCGGGGGCCAAGATCCTTTCATCTGTAACTGTTCTATCCTGGGCCTCTTCCTGGCCACCAGGGGCCCAGGAACAATCAGAAGCGATCACTTCATTTCTAATTATTCGAAAGGTCCTTGATTTTTGTTGGGGGCCAAGATCCTTTTATCTCTCTAACTGTTCTATCCTGGGCCTCTTCCTGGCCACTGGGGGGCCAGGAGCAGTCAGAAACGAGCACGACTGGGAACGAGCACGATTAGAAACGGATGACGTGTACGTTGCGCTCCGTCTTTGCCATGTGCCCCTCGCGAGTCTCCGCTCTGTGACTGTTTGGACATGCGTGCAAGACTGGCGCGCACGCAGGCTGTCGTCAACCTCGCGCCTGGCCCGGTCAGGAAGCTGACGCGCCTCTTCGCTGCTCCCCCCCTGAGGGTCCCCCCTGCACGGTGATTCGGCGTTGCAGCTGTGTGCTTGTGCGTGTTCAGCTCGTCAGCGCACAGTGAAGGAGACGCGTCTAAGAGTCATACCATGCATGCAGTTCTGATCATGCTCAGACGGTTCGACGGTCCGCGTGGAGCGAAAGAAGGACGTACATGTACATGAATCCACGCTGGTTTCGAGAGTACGCATTGCGCAAATGTTCGTATAACGCGGCCGGTCTCGCGGATCGAGGGGCCGTGTTCATGTACATAGCTGGGCGCGTACGTCCTTTGTGGGCTCCCTGTAACAGCTCCCCACGTGCTTGGTTTGGGTTTCCCAGCTGGTTTATTCAGTTGACCGCCCCCGAGGGGGCAGGCACCACCGCCCCACTGTGGAGCGCTGCCGCTTCGATGCAGATTTGGGAAGGCGTCCTTGGAGGACAACAGCCTAGAGCTAGCGACAAAAGTGCCTCGAGTGAGAGGCCCACGCGAGGCCCAGGAGGCTCTGGACACCACCCGGCGAGGCGTCGGAACGGTGCGGGAAGGGGGGGGACGAAGCTCAAAACGGCCACGGAGCGGCACGGGGAGCAACGCGAGGTATTTTTTGGGTCCGCAGAGGGCCCCCCCCCCCCCGAGACTGGGTAGTCGAAGGCCAGACTGTCAGATTGGATTGGGCCCCAAGGGCCAATCTGGCCCGGCCAAACTGGATGATTTGGGTTATTCGCCAGACTGGATTCGCGCTGGCTCCCTCGCCAGATTACCCCCGTTTGCCAGATTGGGCCTGCCAGATTGGCGCCAGATTGGCTTCGACCACCCAGTCTAGAAAGAAGTGGACCAACTGTGCAGCATTGGGTCACACAGAGGCGAGGACCAGCTGGTTTATTCGATTGACCGTCCCTGATTGGGGCAGTCACTGTCGCTCCACCCTTTGGGATCGCGGAGTTTGTGGTGGTGGTGGTGTGCGGGGGTCGAAGACGGCGCCTGTTGGTCCAACGTCCACAGCGGCGCGTAAAGCTGCGCAAGATGGTCGCAAGAGGCTCCGACAACAGCATCAGACGGCACCCACAGGTGTCGACAACTGGTAACGGACCGCAGAGGGACACGGAGACGCAGAAAAGTGAGAGCACATTGGGGCCCCGTGGAGGGAGCTCCTGGGGGACCGCCTCGAGAGAACAGGTGCGTGCGACGCGGTCGGCGCAAAGCGCGGTCCGAGAGGAAGCGTTTGTAGGGCGGTGTCGTGGATACAGTCGGGGCCCTGAAGAAGGAACCCTTTTCGTTGGGGAGGGGCTCCACGTTCCTTCAGTGTTTCGCAGCTTGCCTCAGGCTTTCCTTATGTTTTCGATCGGAAATCGAAGGTTAACTTATGGAAAACAGGGGCCTCGTTCCTCATTTAGGGTTCCTTAGGTCAACGCCCCGACTGTATAAGTCTGGCGGGGGTACACTGTCTGTCCAGAGACGTTTTCGGTGGGGCCCAGGATCGGCCTTGGAGGACAACTGCCCAGAGCTGGCCAAAACAAGTGCCTCGAGAGAGGGGCCCACGCGAGGCCCAGGAGGCTCTGGACACCACCCGACGAGGCGTCGGACAGGTGCGGGAAGGGGCGGGACGAAGCTCAAAACGGCCACGGAGAGGCACAGGGAGCAGCGCGAGGGATTTTTTGGGGTCCGCGGAGGGCCCCCCCGAGAGGTCGGGTCGGGCGAAAGGGGGTGATAGCAAAGGGGGGGTTTGAGAATCAGCTCACGTAGCTGATTTTCCCGGCGCCGGAGGCGCCCATGTATCGAGGAATGGGCCCCTCGGTGGGGCCGAAACCAGCTGCATGCAGCAAATTTCGTAACCCCCCCTTTCCCAATCCCCCCCTTTCGTCCGACCTGACCCAGGCGGGCCAATTAGGGCGCCAGTATTAGGTGGCCGGGCGAGCCGAGCCGGTTCCGCGAGAGGCCCCGAGAGCGGCCACAGGAGATGGCGGGAGGCTGTTCCGGAGCGGCCCCGAGAGGCCCCGAGGGGGTCAAGAAGAGGCTCCAGGAGGCGGAAACGGAAGGTTTCAGGTGTTATTTCCCCGTTCTGGGTAGTCGAAGGCCAGACTGTCAGATTGGATTGGGCCCCAAGGGCCACTCTGGCCCGGCCAAGCTGGAGGATTTGGGTGACTCGCCAGACTGGATTCGCGCTGGCTCCCTCGCCAGGTTGCCCCCGTGTGCCAGATTGGGCCTGCCAGATTGGCTTCGACTACCCAGAAAAGGATGGGATTCTTGTTATTCTCTGACCGCGCTGGACCTCTACAGTTCCCCTCCTCCCTCCTCTGCACCAGGCAGTGATGCTGATTGTCAGGATGATGTCCATGGTGTGGTGAGAGTATGGTGTGAGGTTGATGGTCATGGTGAATGATGGGTGAGTATGATGATGGTGATGCTGATGATGCTGATGATAATGATGACGATGCGGCTGATGATGATGATGATGATGATGATGATGATGACGATACTGATGATGCTGATGATGCTGATGATGATGAGGATGATGATGATGCTGATTTTGATGGTGACGATGATGCTGCTGATGACGATGATGATGATGATGATGATGATGATGATGATGGTGCTGCTGCTGATGCAGATGCTGATGCTGATGCTGATGCTGATAATGATGATGATGCTGATGATGCTGATGATGACTATGATGCTGATGATGATGAGGATGATGATGATGCTGATGATGATGAAGATGCTGATGGTGATGATGATGAGGATGATGATGATGATTATGATGATGATGATGATGATGGTGGTGGTTGTGGTGGTTGTGGTGGTGGTGATGATGATGCTGATGATGTTGCTGTTGAAGATGATGATGATGATGATGATGATGATGATGATGATGATGATGATGATGGGGTGATGATGATGCTGCTAATGATGATGATGCTGCTGATGATGATGATGCTGCTGATGATGATGATGATGCCGCTGATGATGATGCTGCTGATGGTGATGATGATGATGGTGGTGGTGATGATGATGATGGTGAAGCTGCTGCTGCTGCTGATGATGATGATGATGCTGTTGAAGATGATGATGATGATGGGGTGATGATGATGATGATGATGATGATGATGATGATGATGATGATGATGATGATGATGATGATGATGATGATGATGATGATGATGATGATGATGATGATGAGGCCCCGAGAGTGTCCAGACGAGCCTTCGGGAGGCACAAACGGAAAGTTTAATGTGTTAATTTCAGTGTTTAAGTTATTTTAGGGTTTCGGCTGAATGCAGCTCGAAAGGGACTTCAGAGAGGTCCGAAATGGCCCCAGATGGCCCCAATCATAGGCCAACTGTCCCCAAGAGAGCCCCAAGAGGCTCCAAAGACTGCCTAGAAGGCCTCTGGAGAGGTCCCAATCGGCGCCAGGAGGCGTCGGGAAGTCTCCCGCGCGTAGGTTTGCGTGAGTTGAGGGCGAGATGGTACACGCCGTACCGGGTTGGGCGGCGGGTCGCTTCGCTCATTCCGTTGGCCCGCATTGTATGTAGTGTTCAGTGCCAAGCTGGGTCGTGAACAAGAGGCCTCGTTGGCAGACTTCTTGGGGTCTTTCTTGGGAGGCCTCTCGGGGGCCTCGTGGCAGCATTGTCGGGCTTATGAGAGGCCTCTTGGGGCCTCTCCGGGGTGCTGTAGGGTCTCTGAAGGTTTCTTGGGGGCCCATACTGGCGGTATCGAGGGCCATCTTCGTGGGAAAAGGCTCCAAATGGCAGGTCTGATTCTCCTCTTGGAGCCCTCTTGGGGGCCTCTGGAGGCCCCCTGGAGGGCCTCTTTGTACGTATTGGGATCCTCCTAGACCATCTTGGGCCCCCCTGGGAGCCTCTTGGGCTGTCTTGGGGCGATACTGGAGGCCTCCTAGGCCGTCTTGGGGTGTCGGAAGCACGAAATGACGTGACAATCCTTCACCAACCTCGGAAAAGAAGCTCATTTGGGGGATTCTCTTGGGGCTCTCTTGAGGCGTTCTGGAGTCGCCTCGGGCCATCCAGAGACTGTTTAGTCGAAGGCCAGACTGTCAGATTGGATTGGGCCCCAAGGGCCAACCTGGCCCGGCCAAGCTGGATGATTTGGGTTATTCGCCAGACTGGATTCGCGTTGGCTCCCTCGCCAGATTGCCCCCGTTTGCCAGATTGGGCCTGCCAGATTGGCGCCAGATTGGCTTCGACTACCCAGAAAAGGATGGGATTCTTGTTATTCTCTGACCGCGCTGGACCTCTACAGTTCCCCTCCTCCCTCCTCTGCACCAGGCAGTGATGCTGATTGTCAGGATGATGTCCATGGTGTGGTGAGAGTATGGTGTGAGTTTGATGGTCATGGTGAATGATGGGTGAGTATGATGATGGTGATGCTGATGATGATGATGATGATGACGATGCGGCTGATGATGATGATGATGATGATGATGATGATGATGATGATGACGATACTGATGATGCTGATGATGCTGATGATGAGGATGATGATGATGCTGATTTTGGTGGTGACGATTATACTGCTGATGACGATGATGATGGTGATGATGATGATGGTGCTGCTGCTGATGCTGATGCTGATGATGATGCTGATAATGATGATGATGGTGATGATGCTGATCATGACTATGATGATGATGACGATTATGCTGATGATGCTGATGATGATGAAGATGCTGATGATGATGATGATGATGGTGGTGGTTGTGGTGGTTGTGGTGGTGGTGATGATGCTGATGATGATGCTGTTGATGATGATGATGGGGTGATGATGATGCTGCTAATGATGATGATGATGATGATGATGATGATGATGATGATGATGATGATGCTGATGATAACGATGATGATGATGATGATGATGATGATGATGATGATGATGATGATGATGATGATGATGATGATGATGAAGCTGCTGCTGCTGATGATGCTGATGCTGATGCTGATGATGATGATGATGATGATGATGATGATGATGATGATGATGATGATGATGATGAGGCCCCGAGAGTGTCCAGACGAGCCT